AGTAGAAATTACTGTCACTTGCACCGAGTGAACAACTGTCACCAGGAGGTGGGGACGATATGCGATTGCTACCTGGCGTCGGCGTCAGCCACGGAAGTGCTGCTATTTATTATAGGCGTATGGTGGCCTAGCAACGTCGTCCAATAAATACTGGTTACCAACCAAACTGACGGACACTGGAATGGGAGTTTCTGCCGCCAGTCAGCGATAGCTCAATCGTAAGCACCTCTGAAGCATCAGAGCCGTGGACGAAAACGGACTGCCAGTTGATGTCTACAAAATATGCCCCTCGGCGACATAACGTGTTTTGGCTAGTAGTTACTCGCCAAGTAAAGTTAGGGAACGGCACATACGTACTTCATGTTGATGTGGTTTCAACGTTGTTAGTCGTTCCACCCAAACTTCCTTCCAGTCTTCTTGACTCTGCTGTCATTCGACCACGGTTGACATAGGAGAAAGCGAGTGCTATAAACGCCGCTTAGGTCGGCTCCACTATAGAAAAGTTCACACCCTCCGGCATGCCAATAATTCTCCTTGCTTTCAACCTCAGAAGTGATTATTAGCTGTTTCTTTTAGTCCTCAATTAATTACCTCCGGCTCTTTCCCCTCCTGTTCCAAGGCCTCAATGGAAGGCGAAGCGGGCCAGATTTGCACTGATTTGGTGACTAACCAATTGCCTCAGTGGATCGCCTGCAGTGTCCGCAGGCACTTTACCTCCAGCCGCCTTGACCATACCATGGTGTTGGGCCTGTCACTGAGTTTGCCCTTCCCGACGGCTAATTCCTGTCTCCGTCAGGTTATTGTTGATAGCCCCTCAGCGACGAACAAACTCAAGTCCATCACTGCCATGTTGGTGAAATGCCACCGCCTGCAGCCACTCATCTACACGCCGACCCTTGTGAAAGGAGTATTGGATCTGTGGAGGCGAGCACAATGGGATACAGCTCTGCGACCCTACGGCGTAAGTGCACGTTTCAGGGAGTCTGCCCTTACCCAACCACCACCGACCGACATTTGAATTTCATAATTTGCGTTATTTTTAATAGTTTGTAACAAGAAAAACAATAATTGTCGGTCGATTTTATTGACTAGTTTGAGATTTTTCGAAAATTAGTCGAGCGAAAGTAAACTTCTTAAGATCTGCGCACAGTGATCGTTGGAAGATAATGGCGTACTTTTTTAATATCTCACTGCGCTTGTGGCCTCCCTGATAGGTTCTTTCATAATTTGACGATAAAATTGATACGTGTGGCCGCCAACAGAAAGGTCAGTGTGTCTGTTTTTTTTTAATTTTGCGCCAGGGCTCCATCCCTTAAGTAGCTCTCACCTGCCTCAATTGAGGAGCCATGGCTTGGTTTCGGTGTCCGTGGAACCAAATTCCCTGCTGATTCCGAAATTACAGCACTGATTTACGATAATGTTTGCACCTCACAAGTCTGAGTTTGGACATGTGGGAGATGGGCCTTCTGGTATTCCGCTCTTAACAACTGCGAAGACTTAAGACAAAGCAAACTGGGAACTGTCTGGGTTCTACACTGCTTGGTCATATACTACTCTTCTACCCTCTATTTTGATTTCCATCGGCTGCTTCAGCTAACCGTAGGCAAATGCGGTGAACTACGCATAAATTGGTTTTGAGTGGTAGTAGCCTTGCTTTGCATCTACCACACTCTCTCTCTAGCAAGAATTTCTGATGACGTGATTGAACACGGATATCCCAACTGATACCGATGTAGTGAATATCTCCGCCATGAAATAGGACCCTACTCACCGACATCCGACACTATTTTTAAACATTAGCTAGTGTTGGCTGGTGTTATGAGAACACCTATGGGACCTATAAAGCAGCTTTCGTCCGGCCCACATGCTCTGTCAAATCACAAGAAAAACCCCTTGGATCTGTGTTAGTTGTACAAGCATGTTGAAAGGCCTTGACCGTTAGAGGCGCTTGTTCATCCTCCATCGTACAACAGATTCGTGGCTCTAAGGCATCTGTTATTCACATAATTTATTTTCTGTCTCAGTTCGCAAGGCAGTGTTAGGCGTAATGAACAAATTTTGTGGTCCTTCGTATTTGATTTGATTTAACATATTAAGCGAGCATTCTTCCCGGTCTTCACGTACTTTTTCCCCCTACGTACGTTGCGATGAATTTGGGACTACAATACTTCGGTAACTGGTAGCACTGCACCTCACCGGTCGGCAAGCCTTTCCGTGCATATGTGTGACGCGAGCGCTTTCTAACATTTTATCCTAATGCCCGGATGTATGAATTCAGATAGGTTACCTCTTCACGTAATGCGTAAAACGTTTTACCAAAATCGCTTGTGTCTGAACTGGACCAAATGCCTCGGGATTCTTTTTCGTCAACATGCAATTTAGAGGCCCTGACAGAAGTAACAAAAATTACGGATTTATTGTTTACAGAACGCTCAGTTGCTGTCCCAGGCAGCAGTGGCGTCTGCCGAGGGGTGTCGTGTCCAACTGGCCCTTGAAAAGTCTCGATTATCTAGACACGTGTGTGTGCGCGTGGAGGAGAGTTAAGGCGCTGCAGGTTAGTTGGCCTGAAATCGCCCACTGCGAGTGAGAATGACCTTGAGGCAGCTGTCCTTGAACGGGGATACCAGAAAGCAATGTTGGGCGTCGGCTACATATTGTATTCATTCAAGCCGCTACTTTTTCATGCTCGCTAGTCTAAGCTGTGCGAATTTAAATGTGCAATATGCTATACTATCGTTAACATGTTGCTTGCGTGACTTGTTCTCGTGAACATTTAATGTCTTGTGTGAATAGCATTAAATTCCATCTGTTTTTTTCGAAAACGTCGAAAATCTTTACCCTGATTACAGCTGCGAGTGAGTCGTCGTGATCCACGATCTGACCTCGTCCTGCAGCACCTGATTGACATGGTGCCTACACTCTCTATCCCCTCCTCGACGAAGCCGCTGCCTCCGGTCGATCTGTTGGCCAAGTTTTGTGCTTTCTTCAAGCAGGATCTCTGGGCGGCTCTCCTAAACCATTTACGCATTCTACTCTGTCCTCCGGATTTTAATGAGGCCACTTCTGTATACTCTACCCAGCAGTGCTCTCAGCCCCAGCCCGAGACTACTTTAAAGGTGGGAGAAGTGCCGACCTTTACTCCAAACCCCCTAGCTATCGCTATTAAGTGAGTCGTCAAATATACCTACTCAAGTCTCTATTCGGTCCTTAGGACTTTGCTTTATGGGAAGGAGTGAGAATTGCTTCTTTTCCTTACCATTTTGAACTAGTTATTTGGACGTGGCACAGTGCTGATTTGCGCGCAAATTGTATTATGAGAGTGGAGACTTTCTTAGCATCTGCATCATCCTTTAATTCCCACACCCACCATGTTTCCGTTGCGGGGGAAAATTAAAGCCATTTGGCTATGGATTGGACAGGCAACTAACATCAACGCTGTACCGATGAAGGTGACAGGTCCAAAATAGCTTAACTGAATAACCGATTATCGCACAGAAACATTCCGTTATTTTGTTATTTACATAATTATTCCTATTTTTCCACTTTTATAATTATTTTTTCCTTCTCATGATATGCCCCACCAATCTAACCCTTATTACCACCTGTCCCGTATAACAGAAGGATGGGGTTTTCGCGTGCCGTTTTGGGACCCTAAGTTGAACTTTTACCCCGATGAAGACTACGGCTTTAACTATCAGTGAACTTTTGCACATTTCACGATTCGTCATCAGGAGTTTCTTCCTGATTGAATGGTCCATCCCACATTTCCTGCTATGGAGAAGGATTATGGAATTTCATTGCGCTAATCGTATTACAGTACTGGCGCATGCCGAATGAGGCTTTTAGGATTTCATCGCGGGCAGTCTGATCCCAAACCACTACTGGAAGGTCTGCTCGAATTTGACTAATTAAAGCCGCTATGTTGTTGTGTGGTATCGGTTCTGCGTGCTTTGGTGGCTCTGTCATGGTCTGCTTACTCATCA